TTTGACTCACGATGACACGAATCAATCGCTAGTCAATCGTATCAACGTCAAATGTCGTATCGTGCTTTAGTAACAGATTTCATTGAATTCAAACCAGTAGAAGAATCGGTAGAAACCTCATCGTTACAAACAACTTCACCTAGAGCTTCGGACCACTTCTTCTAAATGATTTTGTTAAGCACAATAAAGTGAGAGGAAATGGATGTGAAGAAAAAGAATTCCGTGTTTTGATAAAAAGTGATCAGAGGGTCCAGAAGGATTCGTTCTTCGTTCCGTGTTTTCTGGTGATGAGTCGTGATTACCAGAAACTCGAAAAATCTTATCAGAGGATCTCCCTCAAACTTGAAAGACACTTCAGAAGATCAGATCCATTAGGGTATTTGGCTGTGGAGAGTTGCATCCAACCTATACCGAAGCGATGCACCGTTTCTGAGGCTGGTCTCGATTCCAAAAGAATCAAGGGTTGGATGCAATCATTTCTTCGTCGACATGGTTTTCCTCTTCGGAGGACATTCCTACAACTACATGTCAAAAGTCAAAAGATTTCGAAAGAGAAAAAACACCACGAGGATCCACTCATCAAACCCCAAACAACTATACTTTTGGCTCAATTTACGTTCAAAGGGCCGATAGTTATGCTAAAGAAGACCGTCAGGTATCACTTTTTGAATCCAACCGGTCTGGAATATAAATCGGCCAAGAAGGTAGCTTTTCGAGATCAATTCAATTCATTTTCCACAACTTAGATGCTTGTAATGATACGTGGGCGATTAACAACTCCACGTTTCTTTAACTGTAAACTTAGAAGGGTTTAGACTCCACCTATTCAAAACTCTATCAATGCTATCGTTGACAAGCTCGGTCCAGGCGATAAAGCCTCAAAAATGGCAAGTGAGGTGTTACGCTCGTTGAAAGATTAAGGTGAGTATTCAAAGTTAAATAATAAAACAAAATTAAAACTATTAGAACATGAATGGAGTGCGGAGATTATTGAAGTTATTTACACGAAAGTTCGGCTTATTCTGGAAAAAGGTGAAATTATCACGGAATTCCGAAACAATCGATATTTGTTCCTTTATTTATTTCCAATGTATAGTTAATTCAAACAAGTTTCTATCAATCTGAGGAAATTTCCTTTTGTAAAATAACGCAAAATGTTTTATCAAATGATTTCCATCAGAAATGAACACATTTCAGTTTTGGAGCTGCCATGGGAAATGAACGGTCTGGTCTCCCACCCGACAGCTTCTTCAAAACCTCGTTGCGGTTCTTTGGGCCGTTCAAAACAAGAAAAGTCTAGTTTCAAATCTATTGAGTCAGTCAATCTGCATAACCGAATAAACTTCTCAATCGTTTGAAGAAGTCGTTTGCTCTTCAATGTGGGCTTCGATTTGCATGGAATGCTGTTTGAAGACACGACCGAAGACTTATAAGCATTCAAACGCCTATCAAGTCAAATGTCCAACTTGTACACATACCTATGCCACGTACTACGTCAACAAACAGAAAAATCAATTTCGAGGTAGATGAATTCTCTTTACTATCGCTAGTTCTTCTATAGATCTGCTCAATGAACTACCCGAAATGACTCGACAAATGGAAACAATCGAGGCGGCTTTAATGAGTGCCGAAGATGATCGTAGCTGCAACGAATGTCTTAATGAAAAGGGGCCTAGACTCGAATTTGTTTAAGGCTCCTCGAACGTTGATGGAACTTCGTCAAGAATCAAGAAAATGTTACCAAAGCGTACAAGTATTTGCTTGAAAAATGAAAAAATAACGAGTCAAGCATAGAAACGACAGTGACTAAAGGCCTTTATAATAGAGATCAACGAGAATCGACTTTACGTTCTATGAAAGAACTATCTGTCAAACGAATTACTTTTCACAAAGAGTCTGCTATTTCGAAAATGACGGAAAAAGGCAATACTGTGGGGAAGAGCCACTCATAAAAGTTCTCTAATCATGGTAGTCTGAATATACAGGGTGCGGCAAAAGTTTGGAGCCGCTTCTTAAGATAGTTAAAGGTTTAAAAACTCGCTTTAAAAAGTTAAAAATTAATAACAAATTGTTTGTTCGAATCATAACAACAAATAACTTATAATAAATGCTCGAAATTTCCACCATCCGCTTCGATACACCTCTTTAAACGCTTTGGGAAGTTCCTCACGATGGTGGCGCACACTTAAACAGTTATTTCATCCCAGACTCGTTTCAGAGCAGATTTTAAAGCATCCACTGTTTGATACGTCTTCATCGAGATCTTGCCTTCCAAAATAGCCCAAACGGAGTAATCGAGGGGATTAAGGTCTGGCGAATTTGAAGGCCAAATGGTCTTATCCCAAAAGCCTGGAAACAACTGTGCCCAAACGTTGAGAGTTGAGTGAGCACCATGCGCCGGGGCCCAGTCCTGTTGCAGGGAAAAACCAGCTTGTCCAAAGTGATTTGTTGCCCAATGTTTCAAGACATCTTTTAATACCAGTTGTTGGCAGTTTTTGGCATTCATCTTGACGTTTCTGTCCAAAAAAACAGGCGGTGTCTTGCTTGTAGCACACATACCTCCACACACCATAATCAAAGCTGAAAAATGCTTTCTAGCCATCAAATTTGCCGCAAATGTGTTCTTCAGACCCCTTTTGAAAAGTTATCTATGATTTTGGCGGTTGTGCAATGACTGGATAGAAAAAATCTTTTCATCTGTGAAGAGGATCCTCTCAAGTAGGCCAGTCGCCACCAAGCGCACCATCTTCTTTGCTAGATGCTTTCGTTTCTTTTGGGATTTGTTGCCCAAGACGTGTGCTTTGGCCAATTTGTAGCTTAAGAATCTTAGTTTTCCTTTAACAATCCTTTCAACGCTTCGAGGGCTAATTTTTAGCTGTTTGCCCATCTTTCGCATCGACTGCAGCTTGTTTTGGCGAATCCGAAAGCGAATTTCGTTGATGTTCGTAGGTGTTACGGCAGTTGGTGGTCGACCACTTCGAGGGCGATCCTTGTTGTTCTTTATCTCCTTGTAGCGTTTAATTGCTTTGTTGACAGTGTTTTTTGGATATTTCGTGATTTTTACAATCTCCGGGCTATTTTTTCCGCCTTGGTATAATCCGAGAATCACATCGCGTCGTTTTTTGGCGTTCATTCTTACGAATTTTCTCCTAAAAAGAAAATTTTTGTAACAAATCACCTTAACTATACTTGAAAAAAAGTATACGAGACACAAAAAAAAGCGTGAGCTAAATTTTCTGCAATGTTTTCATAGCGGCTCCGAACTTTTGCCGCACCCTGTAGGAAAATTATTTAGAAAATCCCAGTGTTCTCACTCAATTTTTCCCCAAATCATTGTTGTTTTGTAGCAGTTTTCGTTTTCAGTTTTCGCTGAAAGGAATATTGATTGCTTTTGGTTGACGAATGATGACTAAACGAATCGGGCATTCCCCTCCTTTCTCTTTATTTGGTAAGAAATCCGTATTTTGCCTGGCAACAAATTTCTTGTTTGAGTTTCTCATCAATTCTGCTTATTTAGTAGCCTTTTCGTTTAATTTTCACTTGTTCTTCGAGAAAATTCAAAATTAAATGAAAAACTTTTTTTGATAGAAGCAAAGATTTGGTGAAAAACCCACAAATCGGCTTCGAGTTGGGCGATTTTCTTCAACAAGATGACCGGTTCTTCTATGCGTTTGACACTCTTGTCAGGCAATTCTTCAGTCATTTCGGGCATTTCTGGAGATTGGGAAAAAGAAGAGATGCTCTGAAGACATCGAGGAGGGAAAGGAAGATTCCAGAGATTCTACAACCAACCTCATCATCCTGATGCCTCGGTGTCTCAAGATTTTTGTTCTTCTTTCTTTGTCTCGAGTTCGATCTGAGAAATTTGATCTGAGAAAGCTACTCCTCATCCGAATCAACATCACTCAAGTTCAAAATCTCTCCAAATTTCTCACTCATTGCTTCTCAGTCTCAGTGCCCTCGATAAATTTCCTGATCATGATGCTGCTTCCGGGAGGCAAGGCGGGGATCTCTAGTTCGAGTCTGGTAGCTGATTGTCTTTTTTCTTTTTATAGATTTTAATGCCTTGAGCAGTCCCCCTTTTAGAGAAGCTTGGTTTAGTTATGCTTTTTGTTCTGCTTCAACACAAAACAACTTAAAAACATAGAACAACCAAAACAACAATCAACAATGATGACATCTTGAGCAGCTTTGAATTTTGAAGTTAGAGAAGTCAAAAAGGCTCTAAAATTTGAATTAGAAAGTGAAGAATTGTTTACGCCGTGGGGGAGAAAGATAGCCTCGCCGCGGGGATTGAGGAACAATTGTGGCGATTTGATCGGAACCGTCGGGTCTACTTATCCGTATTAATGGTGTACCACAAGGCATTGAAACCTAAGGAAAGGAAAAAAGACATTCAGCTCCTGGACTCGAACCGTAGAGCCCTGGCCTTGCGTCCTAACTCACCACCACTCGTCCAGCGCAGCAAATGCTGAGCTGGCGGAAGACTGGGCTGTAATGTCGCGGTTTGGTTTCTGAACTCCTTACAAAACTTTAAACACTGATGACTTTTGAAAGAGTGTATCCAAAAAGAAAGCATCATGATCAGTGTGAAACTCTGCGTCGATTGGTCTAAGGCTCATGTGATTTGGGCAGCACATTCAGTTGACCTTCCCGGAAAGTAGTCTCCTGATTTATTCATCACGAATTGACGGCTTTCTTTCCCGAAATGCTACTTTTTTGCACGAAGTTCTATTCGAAGCGATTGTTTCAAGGCTTAATGAGTCAATCGTCGGTTGGAAGGCGATCGCTTTTCTAAACAATTTCAGAGCTCTTAAAGGCTCTTTTCCGCGAAAAAATAATTGTTGATCGCATCGTCGCCTCATTCGTTCTTCCCATTTCCCCGAATTCAAAACGAATCAACCAATTCAGCGGAATGGGTGTGATGGCCGTCCGGTCTAGTCATCACGATTCTCCTCCTTTTCCATCAAATTTCTTCGTCGATTCAACAAAGCGATCAAATGGATCAATTCACGTATTCTTTTCCCTTCAAATAGCTATGTTTTCAACCAAGCCAATCAATAGAGCGAATTTAATGGAATAAACAAGAAATGGGCTTGAGTGTCTCAATGACAAAACTTTTCAGGAATGAAACCCAACAAGAACTCGTCGAGGCTCGAGGAAAAATCCGCGAACTCCAGACGGAAATGTGGGTGAAATCAAGAACTCTTGAAGAATTCAAGCTCACCTTTTTGGATTTTGAGTAGTGAGTAATTTGAGTATTCAGCGCAAGAGAGCGGAACGAAACGAAGGACAAAGACGTCGAGATGAGTCGATTGACAGCAAAAATGGCTCAAATCGCGGCGAATTTAATGGGGAAAAACGCAAAGTTGGACGCTGATTTGGTTGACCAAAGGGAGAGAAATCGAGAATTGGAAAGGAAAGTCGCCGAGAGGGAAAGGAAGAACGACGATCTCGAAACCCAATTGTACTAATTTTGTCACTTTTTTTTTTGACAAGCTCAATATATAGTTAAAATACGAACTTTTTCAGAAGAACTCAAAATACGGAATTGAGAGACGGAAAAGCCAAGATTGGAGAGCTCGAAGGGAAAATCACCGCGTTGCAGAGCAAGAACTCTGACCTCGAAACCCAATTGTGAGTTTATTTGGTATCTCCTGGCGACTGAGACTCGGGAAAAGAGTTTTTTCATTCCCAAAACATCCATTCCAATGAACTTTTAACAATTTAAAAGAGAAAACAAAATGGCCGGAATCAAGCGTTTGCGGGCAGATTTATGCGTTTTCTTCAGGAAATAGATTGAGTCTTTGTCTAAAGGATATGGACTAATGTTTTCCGAAGAAATTCAGTTCTTTTAAGTAACGATTGAGTCTTTGTGTAAAAAATCTCGAGTAAAGTTCGAAGAAATTCAGAAATCGAACGATGACTTGGGTCAAGGATCCGGCTGGATGGAAATATTTTGCAAAAACCGCTTCTTGGTACAAGGTTTAGTGGATGTTGTGAACCAGGATTATCTTCATTCCAAGGTTCCCAATCAAGAAATGACATTCGATGAAGCCGTGGCAGAATGTGCGAGTCGAAAGAGCCATTTGGTCTCAATTCACAGTCAGGAAGAGCAAGATTTTGTTTGGAGACTCGGTAAGAAATCGAAAGGATTCAATTCTGAAACTTGATGATTTTCGTAGAGATTTCTGCTTCATAAACCCAAAACAATAGATATTTATTTCAGCAGAAACTGATGATTGGTCGTTCTGGATCGGACTGAAGGTTGAAGTTTGCTTATTGAAAGAAAGAAATAAATAGAAAGTAATGATTCTTTCAGCCATTTTCAGAAGTCTCTTTGTGAAAAAATGATTCGTTTGACTGATAGTTCTTTGATGGAAATCTGAAATGATAGAGACTGATAGAAACCTGATTTGAATAGAATAGAAACCTGATTGAAAAACTAGCATAGTTTTCAAATGGAAAAATCTTTGATTGCACATCAACATTGAAACATAAAAATTTCTTTATTCAGAGAAATCCGAACAAAGGAAATGCTTTGGAATGGACGGATGGAAGTTCGGTGGATTTCACGAATTGGGATGAAAGATCGGGACACCCGGGTTCGGACACCCACGCTTTTGTGAGATTTTCAAAGTGAAATCATCAATATTTATTCCAATTTCCTATGCAAAATATTTGGATCAACCTTAGGAGATTTCTTTCTGTGAAATAGCTCTGATGTTTTATCAAAGGATTTCCATCAGAAATGAATACGTTTCAGCTTGGGAGCCACGATGGGAAATGGGGGGTCTGGCCTCCTACCTATCAGATACTTTTTATCTGCAAAACGAGCTCTCAATTCTGAGAAATGCTTTATGTTCCTTTCCTTTATGTGGACAAATACCAATAAATCCCATTTTATTGAATCATCTAAAAAAACAAAACTTCACATTATCTTTTTCTTTATTTCTGAATTGTTTCTTCAAAATCTCTTATAAAACGTTTTGCCAAAAGCCCAGAATTCCGCCTGAAGCTGCAAGTATTTTGCTCTCTCGTCGCTCCTGAATAGACTATTAGATAAACGTCTGAACATGAATGGACATCAGCATGGGGAAACTGACAATTCTTCGTGAAGGTCGCTCTTCTCGTCCCTCAACTCGTCGATTTGTCTTTGATTTTTTTTCCTGAAGTTCTCAATAATTCGATTGATGCTTTTTTTCGACGCACTGTTGGTTCTGTAGGCGGTCATAAATCATTCAATTTGCCATTTGCCGCGTAGATGAAATTGCCAAAGACGCGACTCTGAAATGAAATTGAAAAGAGGCAGCTTCAACTGAAACGTTTTTCTAGTCCTGTAGACTGCAGACTTTGGCCCGAACCCTACTGAGAATCCTGTAACTAAAACCCAATTCCAGACTCTCTGTCTACTGGCCCATTGCCATCTCGTTGAGGGATTACGGTAAACTCACCATCACATAGTTTGGGCTGACAATAAGAGATCTTTCAGTGGCGGTAGCCGAATCAGTGTGCCGCGAGGTGGGGTGAATCGTGCGGCCAAAGTTCCCGGACTTGAAAGAAAGCCCAGGTGTTTAGTCAATTGAAGCCACCCAAAACACCCAATTTCAGTCAGCCGAAACCCCTTCCAATTGCCCATTCCGGATAAGGAAATTCATCATCGGCAGTTAGTGTCTTAATGCCTTTAAAAGTCAATCTGAGAATGTTCAATGAGTACAAGACGCCGATCAACGTTCAACCAAGACGACACAGCTACGATCCCGGATATCGACAGAATCACGATCAATATGTGTAGTGTCAAACAGACCGCAAGAGATAGTAGTTCATTGCTTTCTAGATCACAATACACTGGCAAAGAAGGATACAACTCGATACAAGAAGGACCCGGTAGTCAATGAGTGAGTGATTTGAAGAGTCTCAAAACCCAAACTCAAAAACCCAAAACTTACAGAAAGCCATCTGCTCATCTTTGCCTCCTCGTGCTAAGGAGGCTCACAGGAAGCTAAACTAGACCAAACAATGCTAAACCTGCCAGAAGTCAGTTCCTGGAAACTCGGGAATCTTTGTAGGGCCTGCAATAAGGCCAGGATGTGGTTTTTAGAACCCGGCTAGAACATCTTTGGAATCAATACCAGGCAGGCTGAAGCCAGGTTGAAATAGGAAAGCAATCAAGATCATAGACAGGCACGATTGAGGCAAAAGCAAGTCAACTGCACCAGAAAAATGGCAATGCAATTTTTGATTCAGAACACTTTTAGTTAAAACACAGCGGCCACGCCAGAAATATGGCAAAGGCAGTATTAGCGAGAGCCAATGTCATCGATGGTTTGAGCGTTTTCGACGTGGAAACGAGAGCCTAGAAGATGAGCATCACGAAGGAAGTCCTCGGAAGCTGGATGAGTCTCAACTTTTGCAAATTATCGAAGAAGATTCCACTTGCACCACTCGGGAGTTGTCGGAAATGTTCAATGTTCATCATAGCACCATTGAAGAGCATTTACATTTGATTGGAAAACGAAACAGATGCGGAAAATGGGTCCCACATGAACTGACTTTCAATCACCAGTTGCCCGCATAAACACTTGTTCAATTTTGATTCAAAAATCAAAAGCGCATGTTTTTTGGAACTTGTTACTTGTTACTAAAAAAACTTGTTACTTCTGATGAAACGTGGATATTATCAGGTTGGCAACTAAATAATGGCCCTTTTCAGTAAAAACAAAAAATTTATTAACAAGATGAACAAATATCAACATCAATCCAAAAGGTATTCTCCGTCATTCTTTATTACTTCTTTCCACTTTTGACGGAGCAACTGGATTCCTCTCTTGAAAAATTCTTCTGGTTGATCGTCAAAGAACTTCTGCACTGAAATTCGGACTTCGTCAAGGTCATTGAACTTTTTCTCGGCTAGAAAGTGTTGCATCGATCGAAAAAGATGGTAATCACTAGGCCCCATATTCGGGCTGTATGGCGCATGAGGAAGAACATTCCAGCCCAACTCCTCGATTTTCTCCATTGTAAGTTTTGCAGTGTGTGGTTTCGCGTTATCATGGAGAAAATGAATTGAAGAGGGTTCGAGTCCTTGAGAGCGAATTGCTTGATCTACACGATGTAGTTGAGACGAATAGAGTTCTGAATTAACCGTTTGCCGGCTTTTGAGAACCTCGAAATGCACCAACCCACGAGAACTCCACCAAACACAGAGGAGAGTTTTCTTTGAGTGAATATCCGGCTTCGGAGTTGGTTTTTGGTCTTCGTTTGTGCTAAGCCACTGTCGTTTTCGCGTTCGATTATCATAAAAGATCCATTTTTCATCAGAAGTGACAATGGAATCCAAGAAGCTTCCCTTTTTCGCAAGTTTTAGTAGTATTCCAGCTGTGATAACACGAGTAGCCTTATTTTCTTCGCTCAATTCATGCGGAATCCACTTTCCACTGCGGTTACTTTTCCCCAATGCATGAAGTCGCTTTTCGATTGCAGTATGCGAAAAGCCCAATCGATCCCCTAGCTCGCGTGATGTTTGACTTGGATCCTCCTTTAAAGCTGCTTCCAAAATATCGTTCTGCAGAAGTTCGGGTCGTCCTTGGCGAGGCTCATCTTCAAGACTTTCATCCCCTTCCTTGAACCGTCGATACCATCTCTTACATTGTGTTTCGGAAAGAGCTTCATCACCAAAAACTCGCAATAAATCTCTGTGGGATTCGGCAGCTGTTTTGTCTTTTTTGTAGTCGTACCAGAGACAGACACGCATTCGATATTTGAGATCTTCCATTTCTAAACAAAATTATTTGAAAAGTACCAAATCAAGGAAAGTAAAAAACGTATAATAATGCACCAGAAATTTAGTAATATTCAATTAACAACAAGCGAGGGTAGATTAAACGCAAAGATTAAAAGATTTTATCAAAAAAGGGCAAGGGCCATTATTTAGTTGCCAACCTAATATATGATAACGTTAAGCGCAAGCACCAATGGCTATCACCAAAGCAAGTCCCGGCTGTCATGTCAAAAGCTGGTATGCATGGAAAGAAGTTGATGTTGTGCGTATGGTGGAACTATCGTGGATTGGTTTATTTTGAACTGCTCAAACCGGGTAAAACTGTCACATCTGAACTTTACAGTGAGCAGTTAGAGCGTGTGAATCAAGCCTTATCGAAATCTCGACATGACACTTCAAAAATACGATTTTGATGATGCAAAACCGCACACGGCAAAGATGACCCTCCAATAAATCGAAGAGATGGGCTGGAAACTTCTACTTCACGCACCATACAGCCCTGACTTGGCCCCTTCAGACTATCACTTATTCAGGTCTCTAAAGCAGCTCATCTCTGATCAGCTGTTCAAGGATTCCCAGAAAGTCGAAAATGCGGTCACCAACTATTTTTCGTCAAAAAGTCCCCAGTTTTTTGAAGATGTAATTATTGGATTGAGCAAAAGATGGCATGATGTCCTAACTAATAATGCAGAATTCCATTTATGTTAATCCTCTTGGTTTATTGTTTTTTGAAATAAAAATACGGGTCAAAAAATTCGCATGATTTTCCCGCCAACCCAATAACATTCTCGTAATTAATCCAAGTTTCATCAGACGACAAATTCGAATTCCAAAGACCAGCAGCTTTACATCTATGGAGCAAAAAAGAACTGACATTGACGTGAGTTGTTTTTTTGTCTTAAGTCAGTGCGGGTGATTGCAGTTTGCACGGTGATTTCTCAAAAATCAAGCCATGAATTCTTCTCAGATTTTTTGATGATCCCAGAAAAATCTCTAAAATTTTAAGGGAAAGCTGGACTCATTTTTTTCCGGGTAATTTCTTTCCAACTTAATATTACGATACACTTTCAAAACTTACCGGTTTATCAGCGCCTCGTTTAAGCCAAAAAGAAAAGAGAAAAGGGCAAAGAACAGGATGAGAAGTCGCATTGTGAAACCGTAAAATAAAAAATTGTGGTGAGGAATAAATTGAAGGAAAGTTTTAAAATGAAAATTGTCCATATAAAGATTAAAAACAGTGGAATTAAGGAATGACAAGGAATCTGGGTGTGGAGATAAGGAATCTTTCTTTTTGGAATGTTTTGAAATGGTTTCTCGTCCATTTACCCATTCCACTATTTCGATTCGTGGGCGGTGAAAGGCCAACAAAAATGCATCATTTGATCTTTGTATTGGATTTAGTGAATTTTCAATAACAGTTTGACCAGGCTTGCTCTACGAAGCCTAGCACGGTCATTCCAATTCTAGCTTAACAATAAAATGAATAGGCTTGGCATTCAATGACAAATTGACCAATCCACGAGATCAAACTAGACGAATGACCTCTATAAAATGACTCAACTCTTCTGATGCTCGTTGGTGAGTGTTGGACGTTTTCTTATAAATCTTGTTCTCATTCCGCTTCAGTAGTCAGTATCAGACTTGTAACCATTTCCATTTAAAACATTTCCCAACTCCAGCTCCTGACTTAGCCTGGAACCATCAGGCATTCGCCACTTTCGTCATATCTCCGAATGCACATGGGCTTGCAAATCGAAAACTCCTTTAGCTAATGTGCAAAAGTGTTGTGTTGTAGGTGTTGTAAAGAAATCCAAATCTTGATTCAATCTAATCTCAACTTTCAAAAAGGATTGGGAACAATAAGATCTGCATAAACAGCTCTAGTTTTTTTCTTCTTTATAAAGGAATTATCTTAGCAGGAAAACGCTGGGAACTGGGGCACGTGTACTCAATACTTTCAAGCAGTTTGTGCAAGGAAAGATGTGGCCTGGTCAGCTGATGGGGAAACGCTCTGCTCGTATTATGGCTTCCGTTTCGAATGTATGGATCGATATCGAAAGGTGACTGTATTCTGACCCAAAACAAAAATGAAACGCAATCGGGAACATATCAATGCTAAGCTCAACGTAAGTTGTCGACACCACTAGTCATAGCTTCCAAAATTTCCATTTAAGATAGTAAGTCAATCAATTTGTGGATATCACCGACCTGATGTAAACGACTATTCACGCTTTTTAATCCTAACTTTAAAAAAAGTATTGCTTACCTTCAAAAAATACAAAGTTTGAGGACATACAGTCCTGATAGAGGGGAGGTGTCAAGGAATTAGTTCTTGGCAGAGTTCACCCAAATAGCCGATCGCAAATCGAAGGGCGTACGGTATGAGAACTTGGAGATAAGGCAATCGCATTGAGTATCGGAAATAGGCACCGTCTGGAATCTGGGTGTGGAGATAAGGAATCTTTCTTTTTGAAATGTTTTCAAATGGTTTCTCGTCCATTTACCCATTCCACTATTTCGATTTTGTTTTACCAAAAAGTTTGCCTTCTTCAAATCTTCAATCACATTTATTTTAAAAACCCAAAGTTAGCAAAAAATCGTCGTGTGGGCGGTGAAAAGCCACCCATCTCAACACCGGTATTTTCGGGGCGAGGTGCAATTTTGAGCTGATGAATCTGTGTGATGCTAATGATACAGATAGCTAAAGGCCTTGTATCTCTTTTCTGTTGTCCCTTGAGCTATCTGTTCAGAAATCGTTGAGAGGATTCTGGTCAGTCTCCTGTTTGTTTCGAAGAAAAAAAGAATAAGTTTCAAGTCAATGTAGAACTCGGTCAAGTAAAACATTTCAGACTCTCGACGATCTGGTCTACATCGCTAGAAAGCTGCAATTCAATGAAGACTTGTACCTGGGCTGAGCGCCCGAGAATATTTGACCTCAAAGCGGCAAGGTTGCCAATTCTACGATCCGGAATACATCGAAATAAGTTGAATAAATGACTTTTTCTTCAATTTAGAATTAGAACCTTGTTTGTGAGGTCGATTGGTGCCAGAACATTTACTTTGAGTCTCAGCAAAACATGTGTACATGTTCGAAGTTGATTTCAAATGATCTCTTCGAAATGGGAAGAATCGGGCGCTAGGTATGTCCAAATGAGGCCTAAAAGATCACATAGTTTCCACCCAGATTCAGCTAAGCAAAGAAAAGACCAGACAAAGGGGTATATATTGACATACCACATCCATTTAATGTCAATCCTCTCATTTTAGTCGCGCCCGCAAAGTGTGGAAACCACACAAACTCGAAGTTGATCATCATGGGCTTTTTTTCGTTTTTGTGAAGTTTGGGAGAGAACTAGATAGATTCTCTCCCCACCTTCACAAAAATCAGACCCAAACCTTCGCACCATTTCGACGTGGGTGCCGGAGAAAATCAGCTCCGAGTTTCCGGATTCAAGTGGGGTGGCAAGTCCAGAGATAAACTAGTAGAAATGCGTTCTTGACCCACTCGCAACATTTCCTCAAATCGAATCGTACAAACACGGCGAGCACAGCGTCGATTCGGGATACTTCAAGAATGGCGACTTCTAAAGAAAGTGATTGATGATCATTGTTTGAAAGCATCTCTCTTCACTACGATCATTTAATAACGGCCCACAATAATAAAGTTTTCATTCAGGCCCACACGGGTTTCTATCTTTTCTGACCTCCATGATATCTTTGATCCAACCACGGAAAGCCGAGCTTTCTATCTATGCCGTTATTCTATTTAATTTGGACTAATAGGGACTCCTTTGATTGAAAAGAGATCTTTGTTAAACTCAAACTCGAACAGCATCTCTCTCGCCGGACCTCTTCACTCGCTACTCGTGCCTCAAACCGATTTTCAAAAAGATCAAAGAGAGATTCGCTTCGCTACACGTAATTCTCCGCAAACGTGGCCGAGAACATCACGAGGCAATTGAATGGAGAATTTCGAATCAAATCCATTTTGATTGCTTTCAGTTTGACATTACTAACGGGCACCTTATATAGTCGACCATTTTGCAAAAAGCTTATTGAAAGAGTATAATGTAGTGATATGTACATAGCTAAGTGATTTCCTCGAACAAATTCCATCTGAAAATGGGGTTTCATTCGTTTTTTGACTATAAAGACATTCACAGCTCATTATATCTACAATACATACATACATTCTCTACTTGCTTAGTCGTTATGATTAGCCAAAAAGAGACCAAGATCTTCGCCTACAGAACCAACAGTGAGTCGAAAAAAAGCATAAATCGAATTATTGAGAACTTCAGGAACAAAAATCAAAGACAAATCGACGAGTTGAGGGACGAGAAGAGCGACCTTCACGAAGAATCGTCAGTTTCCTCATGCTGAGGTCCATTGATGTTCAACACGTTTATCTAATAGTCTATTCAGGAGCGACGAGAGAGCAAATACTTGCAGTTTCAGGCGGAATTCTGGGCTTTTGGGAAAACTTTTGATATGAGATTTTGAACAAACAATTCAGAAATAAAGAAACAGATAATGTGCAGTTGTGTATTTTCAGAAGATTGAATAAAATGGGATTTATTGGTTTTTGTCCACAGAAAAGAACACAAAGCACATCTCAGAATTGAGAGCTCCTTTGCAGATAGAACGAAACTGATAGCCAGGAGGATAGACCCGCCATCGCCCCTCGACGCTCCGAAGCTGAAATGTGTGCATTTCTGATGGTATTCCTTTCATAAAACAATTTTGCTCATTTTACACAAAGAAGTTTCCTCAGATTGATCAAAATATTTTGGGATTAACTATGCATTGGAAATTACAATAAATATTGATGATTTCACGTTGAAAATCTCACCAAAGCGTGAGCTCTCAAATCCGGCTCTCCCAGATACCAATTCGTGAAATCCACCAGAATTCCATCCATCCATTCAAAAGCATTTCCTTTGTTCGGATTTGTCTGAATAAAGAAATTTTTATGTTTCACTATTGCTATTTCAACCATATTTTCTTTCCATTTTAAAACTATTCTAATTTTTCAATTCAAATTAGACTTCTATAAATTCTATCATTTCAGATTTCTATCAAAGAACTATCAGTCAAACGAGTCTTTTTTTACAAAGTGCGTTCCAAAGTGGCTGAAAAAAATGAAATAATTAAGTTTAATATATTCATTTATGTCTTTCCATAAGAAAAATTCAACCTTCAGTCCGATCCAGAACCAAGCATTTGAATAAAGAGTGTTCGCTGAAATAAATATTGTTTTTGGTTTATAAAGCAGAAATTCCTACGAAAATCATGAATTTTCAGAACTGAATCATTTCGACTTCCTACCGAGTTCCCAAACAAACTGGTTCTCTTCCTCACTGTGGATTGTGACTAAATGGCTCTTTCTGCCCCCACAATATGCCTCGGCTTCATCAAACGTCATTTCTTGATCCAAAGTCTTGAGATGAAGATAATTCTGGTTCACAACATCCACCAAACCTTGTACCAAGAAGCGGTTTGTTCCAAATACGACCATCCATTCAGATCCAAGAAAGTCATCGTTTGATTTCTGAATTTCTTCGAAAAACTTTACTCCAGGTTTTTTTGAAACAAATACTACTTCCTTTTCCATAAAACAAACTCACAAATCTGCCTGCAACTTCGCGATTTCGGCCGTTTTGTTTTCCCTTTCAGATTGTCTAAAGAGGAATTGATTGGATTGAGTGGAATGGGTGTTTAGGAAATGAAAAAACTGTTTTCTTAAGTCGCAGTCGACAAGAGATGAACTCACATTTGAGCCCTCAATTCGGTTATTTTCGTTGCTCCAAAAGGAGTTCTGTTAGTTAACAATCTGTCATAACTAAGAATAACCAGAGAGAGAAGAAGACTCACAACTCGGCCTTTAGCTCCATGCTTTCGGACCTCAATTGCCTCTCGACCTCGGCATTTTCTTCCCTCGTTTCGTTCAACTCCCTCTCGCTGAACAACTCTAGCCAGTCAAATTCTAACAGTTTTCAACGTACAAATCGGCTTTCAACGCGGAAAAGGTCCTTGACATTTCGGCGACTTAATAGATTCTTTTTCTTTTCCCCCCCCCCTCTTTTTTTTTTGAGGGATCCTCCCCCCCCCCCCGCCTCTTTTTACCAGCCCCCATTTTTCGTCGTTCGCTCGCAGAGTTCGCAGATTTTTCCTCGAGCCTCGAGGAGTTCTTGTTGGGTTTTACTCCTGAAAAGTCTTGTCATTGGGACACGCAAACCTATTTCTTGTTCATTCTACCAAATTCGCTTTATTGATTTGCTTTTCTCCAAAAAAACCCACAAATTTCTTTGACAAGACCTCAAATTGATGGGATAGACAAATTGATGGGTATGACTTGACGACGAGCCCTCGTCTCTACTGCTGAAATCTAAGATCATCGACATCCCTTTCTGACCAACTTTGACGAAGAAATTCGATGGAAAAGAAGGAAAATCGTGATGAATAGACCGACGGCCATCACACCCATTCCGATCGATTGGTGAATTCGAAATTCAAGGTTTTGAATTCAAGGAAATGCGAAGAATGAATGCTCCATTCTCATTTTAACGCTCATTTTAACACTTACAATGTTTATTGTAGCAGAAATCTTCTCATTTCAGTCTAATCACCGCAATTTTCCTCCGAAAACCGAAAGAAAAGCCGTTAAGGACAAGAAATTCGATCACTGTGACTGTTCATCCATCAAAAGGCCATTGAAACGGCATAATTGTGATATTGAACTGTGATAATATTATATCTCAATAAAGCTTTATGTTTAAATAGTTGATAGAAAACAAAGATCAAAAGTAAAATCAGAAATGTAAATCTTAGCTAATTCTTATGTTTCTTATGTTCTTACCTTAGCTTATGCACTCCGCGTTGTTGAGCTGATGTTGATGACCATTGTACGGTTTCGAAGTTTTTGCAGAAGCTCAACACTCTAATCCCCCGCAAGATCCCATCATCAGCTACATTTTCCGACCCCACATCGATAGGTTCTGATAAGCGGTTTTCGAGATTTCGAGGAATTTAGGCAACGCTCTATCTATTAGAGAGAATACGGTAAGTGAAA